CTTTTGAACAAAGGAAAATTGGTGTTTTTTGTGCTTGTCAGACATGAATGTTCCAAAGCACCAGAGTTGCCAGGTTAAAGCATAGTATGAGGCTTCACTGCTAGGATAGTTCAGTCAATTTAATGAGTTTCTTGCTAATTTAGCTCCTTGAGCTGGCTTGTTGTGAGACCTGGTAGTTTACAGTCCTGGTGCAGCTTAAAGGCACAATCAGGTAGGATGGGAAGAAAGGCAGGAACATGACAATGTTCACTCTGATTGTTTTAAACTGAACTTGTGTGAATTTGTATAGTCTGAATCAAATGAACAGCTTGCTGCTGCTGCCTAATGGAGGTGGACTTGGGTCCCTCTTCCGTGCTCTTAGCTGCGCGTTGTGATGGCTCACCTTGAGCCAGCTCTAGGTGTGTCTGATCTCATGATAAACTAATCTAGATTATTAAAATGTCAGAAAACTAACCTGGCAAGAAAAAAAAAATCAAATTTTTCTGTTTGGATTAGCAGGTTTGGGGGACTGGAGGAGCCTGAGAACAGGTGGAAAGGGAGGAGGTTGTGTGTCTGTGAGGGGATGGTGAGAAGGAATGTGGGTGTGGAAAGGAACGAGGTAGGGGAAGAGGGGAAGGAGGAGGTAGTGCAGGACCTCTTGTTTCTGGTGAGCGGGCTCATTTCTGGGAGCTGGTTCTCCGGCTGCTGCATTGGACAGTGCATTGGTAACTCAGACGCACAGTTTTGCACAGCAGTGTTCAACGTCTAAGCTTCTGTACTCCAGACCTCTGCATCTTCTTTTGTTTTGAAAAAAGTGTTTCAATTAGGCTATTTCTCATCCTTTGTGCCAGTACTGGTATTTTCTATGGAGTTGTAGTTCAGTGTTTTCATTTTTGATATGATCATAACTTGGGAGATGAGCTTGACCTTCTTCCTGTTATAGTTAGTGGAGTGCTGTTGAGCTCAACAGAAAGTTAAGCTAGCTAAATGTTAATTTAGATTATGTGATATGAGTTTAAAAGTGCAATAGCTATTCCTTACTGACTTCTCACCTACAGGATCTTATTCCACATTTGTATTAACCTGAGGTAGAAGTCTTTAGGGAATTACTGACTTCATAGACAAGCTGTTTTCATTCAAAAACAGATGCAAAAAGCTTCAGTAGCATGGTCAAAAGACATTTCTTCTGGAGCAGCCTGACTTTTTGGAGGCTATGAGAAGAGGAAGGAAATGGTTGGAGTTCTAGCATGAGGCTTGAACCCTTGGCATTCAGTCTGGGGTCTGTATCCTATGCAGGGCTTTACATGTGAGTTAAGCAGGAAGAAGCCTGGAAACACAAAACGTTGCTTCCTGTAGCTCTTCCCCATAGTTGTCCCTAGTGTGTGCGTTAGGGTGGTTAATGTATTGTACCAATACCAACTCAATTAAACTCTTCTTCTATATTTCTGCTGGTTTGCTTCTGTTAACTTCTGTGAAGCGCTTTCACGTTTTTCAGGACAAGTGGGAGAATCCTGCAACAGTAAATATTTTTCTAGTGAGATCTTCTAGTATTGGGCAAGGAGCCAAAATTAATATCAAAAAGAAACAGACCTTTTGGTGTATGTTTTTTCTTATCTGTTTTCAGTAGATGATGCTTTTGTTTGGTAGAAAGAATGTCAGATTCTTTATTCTGAGAAACCTGCCTAGCAGCTACCTCTTCTACTTGACCACTCTTTTCTCTCTCACAGTATGGAATACTTTTTCTGAATCAAGGTTGTGTTGGCACTACACCTGTTTTTTAAACAAACCCCAAACTGAACTGAAACAGCCTGTTAAACTGAACAGAAGCTATCTGCTCTTCGCTAGGCTTTTTTTTGAATGTTTTATGTCAGTTACTATAATTTAAATTTTGTTTTAAAAATACTTCTGCAAACTGAAGTCTGCTCCTTGTGGTTTTCTGTGGAATCTACTGTGACGTGCTTTCTCTTGGGCTTCTGGCAAGCAGGAAGTGGAGGAAAAAGAAGTCATAAACATCTGTCCCAATCCAGTTTTATTTATTACATTGCCTTTCAGTCGCTTACTGGTGTAAAGATACTACTTGAAAGAGGTTTCTAAACCAATAACAGGGAGCAAAAAGGCAGTTCACAGGCAGCAGGGTAAAAGCCAGTCATTTTATCAGCAGAAGTTAAAACTGAAGGTTCGGTGACCCCCCATGCAGCTAAAGAGAATCACATTAATATAATTTAGATGTTGCTGGGAGAAAGCTTTACATGTTGGCCTAGAGAGGTACTGTTGTTGGTATTGGGAAGGAGATGTGTGAGGGTATAATAATACGTTCAACTTTTTCCTCCTGGTTGCTTGTGCATGGGAGCCAGGAATGGAACAGCATGCTCACTGTGCCTTTCAGCAGCACGGCAGGTTGGAAGGGCTTCCCATTCACAGTGTATCATCTGAACAGAGCAATGTGAAAATGCAGATGCCTGAGTAGTCTAGAAATAGCTTCCCGGAAGGGATTCTGGTCTCCTCTCCACTTGTGCTTTGACATTAAACCTGGACAAGAGTTCTCAAATTTTTCATATACTTTCAGTTATTAGCATGGGGTTTATGGCCATGGAGTATCTGGGAATAATCCATTTTCTGAGTATCAGTGACTGGGATGTTTAGAAAAGTGTTAGCTGAAAAGGTGACTGGAATAGGACAGAATGGGCAAAAACAAGAATCAAAAAGAGAGATGGTGAGAATGGAATGAAAAAGAATAGACCAAATTTAACAGTGTGTTCAGATGTACTGTGTTTGGGAAGAGTAAATTGTGACTCCAAAGTGATGGGAAAAGGCAGAAAAAACACCTTAAAATTATATATATTATAGGAAGGAAAAAGGTGAAGTCAGGAAGCGACATGGTTATAACCAAACATTGAGCCTATATGATGGTATTCATTGCCTATTAATAGGATGCTGATTTACGAGTTTACAGTGACATGTATTCCTGTTATAGCCCTTACATCGAAGACCTAAGTGGTGACCTTAAGCTCTCTTTGTCCTGTGAGACTTATTTAGGGAAGATCAGAATACAGGGATTTTTGTACCTGTGGCAGAACCATCTTCTTGCGTGATTGGTATTTAGGTTTTTCCCTCTTCCCTGGCCTACCATTTACGTGATCGTGTAGCTTTTGCGTAGGCACAGAGTTCCACACGACTAGGGCGATGTAGTTTAAAACAAAATAGCTTTTGTTAAGTTCAGTGTGATTGGATCAGCCTTGTAGGCAAACTCTTTTCTTTGAGGTTTTTTAATATCTGCAGAAGACAATGTTTTTCATACTAAAGTCTGCTTTCCTGTATTTTCTTTTAAATCAGATTATTGGAAGAATTTGTAAATCACATCCAAGAATTACAGGTAATGGATGAAAGGATTCAGAGAAAGGTGGAAAAACTAGAACAACAATGCCAGAAGGAAGCAAAGGAGTTTGCCAAGAAAGTACAAGAGCTGCAGAAAAGCAACCAGGTAAAATCTGAAGAGTATAGTCAGCGCTAAGCTGTCTGGAGTGTTAAAAGCATCACATGTTCTGTTAACGTTTCTTGGTACAGCGTGCTACTGTTTGAGATAAGAATAAAGAGGGTTTGATGGAAAACAATTTCCCCTGTCAAAGGGGGCTTATCTGCATGTTCCATTAATGAGCGTTAGCTGTTCTGAAAGTAGCAAGTCTTCATAACAGTTTAAAGGAAGACCCTCAACTTTAAACAGTTGTGTGTACTTAATTAATGGTTCTGAGATAGAGCTGATCAGGAAAGCTGATCCTGCATTCACTGTGCTGCTTACTGAAGTACAGTAAATGGAAATCCTGAGGTCTGTGTCTGTGTCTCTGTTCTCCCAGGTCGCCTTCCAACATTTCCAAGAACTAGATGAGCACATCAGCTATGTAGCAACTAAGGTCTGTCACCTTGGCGACCAACTGGAGGGGGTAAACACGCCACGGCAACGGGCTGTGGAGGCTCAGAAGCTGATGAAATACTTTAATGAGTTTCTGGATGGAGAGCTGAAGTCTGATGTTTTTACAAACTCTGAAAAGGTAAGAGCTGTCAGCGGGATGAAAGCAGTTCAAAGCAATAAGCAGTACTGCCCTAATTACAAGCTGCTACCATGACTTACTATGGTCAGACTTCAAACCAGTGAGTGACTGACTTGTTAAAGTTTCATTGTTCTGAAATGTAAATTAACAACACTAGGCTGCAGATTGCTGATAAAGCATTTGTATTCAGGGATGCTTAATGTGGCAATGTTGGCATTTTTCATTTTCTGAAATTATCAGAGATTTGAGAAATGCTGGGAGGGCAACTTTAAAGTGCATACAATATCTGTCTCTTTCCTTTGAACCCCTTGCCTCAGATCCACCCTGTAATGCAGAACGTTTCTGAATACAGCTTCTTTGTGAAACTTTACTCTGTTGGGTCAGTCCACTGGCCTTGGATACCTTTCTGTCACAGCATGCCTTTGGGCTTTGTATAGTCCTGTGGTTATGTCTCCACCCTCTGAATTTAGACGAACCAGGCAGGAAAACTTCAAAGAAACGTTACAGCATGTTGTTTTTCTTACGCTTCAAGAGTATTTTCTTGAAACAAATATAATCTGAAAGGTGTGGCTAATAGAAATAATGTAAAGGAGAGGTGTCCAGCTATCAGCAAAAGGGCACATACTAGATTTCCCTATGCAGTGTGAAAGATAAGTAAAGTTGTGTTTTGAGTTGTGTCCTGAAGAATCTTCCCACTCTCCTTAAATCCTGTGCAGTGCTATGATTGTAGTCAGAAAGAAATTACAGTATGTAGGAACAGCAAAAACTTGGTTTGCCCATTCAGCAAAAAATACATGTTTGAAATGCAGCTCATAAAGAACCCGAGAATGGGTCAATAGTCATCCCCTCTCTGCTGAGCTGAACCTATCTCTCAGGGAAACAAAAAACAAGTGTCTTCATATAGTTGTATTCACACAAAGTCAGTTGCATAGTAACTTGACTCATGGTCTGTGGATATATGGTAATTGCCAGTTGATAGTTTGTTCTAATCCAAGAGGGAACACACAAAAACTTCTCTGACTTCCAAGGGAAACAAAAAGGTTTCAATGTAACAGAAGTTTTCCATGGACAGCCTGTTCCCTGTGCGCATGGGTTTTTTTTTTTTTTTTCCCTAAGTAGAAAAAAACTATAAACTTTAAAAATATTTAGTGGCAACGCAGTAAATAATGAAGCAAAAGAGACCTGTGTGTTGTCTGCTGAAGACTCTGATACAGAATTCAACTTTCACTTTTAACTTAAGTTTTGTCATACCTTCTGTTGGAGGATCTGAAAAAACTGGTAGATAAATTGGGTGCACCTGGAAATTGATAAGCAAATTTAACCTTTATATACTCTGAAGAATAATAAGATATTCAGCAAATCTGGAGGAAGACAAATGTAGTAAAGGCTAGAAGCCTTAGGGCAGTCTGCAAAGGAAGGATGTGGGAACACAAACAAGGTTTTCTGGATACAAGTTATCTTACAGAGATTAATTTCAGTGAGGTGGGGTTTTGTCTCCGAGTTTAAACAGTCAGTAGTAGTAGTGTATATGAAAGAACCTGCCTAGACATGTGCTCTCACACCTTAAAGCATCTTTGAAATAAAATAGCTCTAAAGTATGAGAGAGTAACAAATATTCTTAAATGTAACACCTTAATGCTTTGTCAGTGTCTTCTGATCTTCAAACTGATGTGGGTTTTATATAGTGTTTTGGAGGTGGTCACAAGTTTTTGTACTATGCCATCCTTCCCAAGCGTGGGTTTTTCTTAGACGCATTGAGAGCAGGGGATACTGTGAGAGGAGAGGCAGGTAAAGAATTAGAATGCAGTAGTTTCCTAGGGAATTAATATTTTTCTCTGTAGTGTCAGTTCTTAAAATCTGTTAGATTCCTTTTTTTCCCCTACACTCAAGTTACTGCTTCCCACATTACTTTCTCCTAGCCATACTGAGGGATTTCTAATGTAGCACCTCTGACGTATTTTTCTTGCATGTTGTCCTATGCTGTGTTCTGTGTGTCTTCATCCTCTGACTTCTTATCATTTCCCTTGCACTGCTGCCTGAACAGTCCCTCTCCTGTCCTGGAGAGTCTTGCAGTGAGCAAATCGCAACTATCAAAATCACACAGCAGCTCACTTGTTTATCATGGGACAGCACTGTCTTCTGTTCGATGTTTACTGTTATTCTTACGTACTTTTCTCCATTTGTATTCTGTACTCGACATTATTCCATTATGCCTTTTAACTTGTTCATAAAAATACTTTGTCTTAAAATTCTATCTTGCTGTTATTTGTCCATGATTTTTCTGATTTCCCCCCCCCCCCCCCCAATACACGTTATGGCCTTTAAGTCGTATTTTACAGAATCGATATTTATGTTTATTTAATAGTTTACAGAAGCCCGATGCAATCAAAACCAAACTATGGCCAGATTTAAGTAGAAGCCATGGAGAACTGATTTGTCATGGCTTCTGTTGCGCATAAGAAAAAGCTCTGGATTCAATAAAATCTTAGTTAACAGCTATTGTGTGAAGAGGAGACAAAGAAAATGTTGTGGTTTTGGGGTGTTTTTTTTTTTTTTGGTAACATTGGTGAATAACTGCAGATATATAGACTATTTTAATGACGTTAGTATTGATCAGAATTGTTATTTAGGTGTTATGGTTGCTGTGAACTGATAGAAATAACTTCTGTTTCATTGGATTTATTTGAGGAGTGGAGCTGCTTTTGACGTAAGAGGCTATTGCAAGCCGACAGTTCAAAACATAAGCTGCTCTTCATAAGCAGAATAGATACACTTTGAGAGCCTCCGTTTTTTTGCTGAACAGCCAACCTAGTGTGATGCCTGTGCTCTGTATTCCTACCTGTGTGTTGTCTTCTAGCCTTGAAAAGTTTTCATCCCAGCCTGCTCTAAGTAGTGGGAGAATAGGGTTTTATTACCTTTGTCGCTCCAGTTCCCTGGAACACGCGTAACAGGAAAAACAAGATAAACTGCATGTTCTCCATGTTCTCTGTTGCGACAACTTACAAAGATTTTGCTTGAACGTAGTAGCTAGGGCTTTCACTGCCCTCTTTGAGGTGCCTTCCGGTCACCAAGACAGCGTAACGCCTGTAAAACGGTCCCGGAGCTGTGCCCGCTTGGGCCAGTCAACACCGTACACATAAAAGCACCGAACTCGGCTGTAAGCAGCTGTGTCCCCTGCGCTTTCGAAAGTGGCGATTGGTGCTTTCTGTAGTTCCTCAGCCTAGCGAAACACTCACGTGGAGCTGCTTAAGTGCACTCTCCCTGCTGATTGATCATGGAAGAATAAATGATAACAGGTTTTGCCATCCAGGACAGAGCAGAAATGTGCATGCTGCGTGAACTTCATTTGTTAGCTTTTTGTATGTGTGTGACTAACCATATTGTGTAGGAACACGATTAGCTATTGCTCATCTTGATCTTTGCTTTGGACCTCAGAGTTCATAATTTCTAATACAGCCTCCATTTCTCCTTCCTTGGGGGAATGTGAGCTACTCCAGCAATGCTCTGCCTCGATCCCCTTTTTCCCATTCCTCCCCTCTCCATGCCGAGCATTGCCGTGGCTTTTTTGGACACAACTATACAGCTAATTTCACCAGTTGCAAAGAATTCCCCAATGCTTTTTCTGCCATGTCTGAAAGGGGTGCTAGCCATCTCACTTCCCAGTTCAACAGAGATCTTTTCTGGTAAGGTGTGTGTCAGTAAGACTTTTATCCTACTCCTTTGTAAAGTATAATGTGCAGTTCAGCCAGCTCTATGTTACAGGTGTATATTTTACTCCCAGAATAATGGGAGGATGCAAATTCTCATGAGGTTGCTCTGGCCGCGTTCTGATCTAATTGGTTCCGAGGAATCTTTGCTCTGCCAACCTGTATAGCTCTGTTGGCACAGTGCAGCCCAGGTAGCTTAGACACCTACACAAACATGCCCAGTGTGACCATACAACAAGAGGGTTTTATCATGTTTTGACCTGTATAATTTTATGTTTAAAAAAGTATATACCTTAAGCATCATAAAAATACATAGAGGAACGTAAAGGGTGTGATCTCTTCCACGTGTATATAACTCAACCAGCTTTAGAAATAGGAACTATATGTATGCAAATTGGACAGTGGAGAGGGAGGAAAGGAATAGCCTACAATCAAGCCTTTAATAATTCTGTCCTGTTTTACTCTTAACAGATTAAAGAGGCAGCTGATATTATTCAGAAACTGCATTTGATTGCACAGGAACTGCCTTTTGACAGGTAAAATGCTATCTGAACATCTTTAGAAAAAAGTAATCTTCACATAGCTATAATTTTCTGATGCTTCCCTTGTCTGTTTTTTTGGTGCTTTACTTAGTGATTCATGTAGTTTTTAAGATGGATTGTGTGCTTATTGCTCTCTCCTCTGTTCTCAAATTCGTGTTCATGCACTCGTATTGTAGGATCATCTTTACATACACATCCTAAACTGCTTAACTGACTTTTAATGGGATAATTTTGCTGTGCTGACTTACTGCTAGATTTGAATTAGATGCTTGTAGGTTTTTATGGATATGGAGCATGTAACTTTTCTGTCGTCTTTGTGTTACATGTTTTCATTTTTAAGTAGAGTGCCTGTTACTCGTGATCTAGGGTGCCTGTGATTTCTCTCGCGATGTGGATTTGAATTTAATCATGGTATTTTTTTGTTGTTAACAGGTTTTCTGAAGTAAAATCAAAGATAGCAAGTAAGTTATCTATCCAGTTCCATCCGTATTCCTGTATTTAAATTGTTGAAGATGATTAAAGTATGCAGTACTGTCAGTATTAGTTTTTGTCAGTGCTCGTATTACATAGCCTGATGGATTTTGGTTGTTATCCCTTTTCCTCTTCAGGTAAGTACCACGATTTAGAGTGCCAGCTAATTCAAGAGTTCACCAGCGCACAGCGGAGAGGTGAAATCTCCAGAATGAGAGAAGTAGCAGCAGTTTTGCTTCATTTTAAGGTAAAAAATGGAGGGTTTAAATTTAAGTACCTAAATAAAACCACCACAGTACAATAAGTGAACATATTTGCACAAGCAAGACCACCATATCAGATAATACAAGTAACTAAAAATACATGTTCTGTTTGATTCCGTGGGGTCAAGTGCAGGGGAATAAAGGAAGCAGATGAAGGGAGGCAGTGTTGGTAGAGAACATTTTAAGATAACCTTTTCTTGTATGTGTGGGAACTGATTTACATGCTTGAGAAAGTGTTGAAACCTGTGATGTATATCCATGTAGACGGTGATGAGTGAAGTTATGTTAGGTTTGGGACAAAAATAGTTTGAAAGAGTCTATACTTCTGATGAAAATTTTTTGTCAATAATTTTTTTGCAGATGTTGTATTTCATTGATTTCATTCTATACTGAAAGCATGGAGAACCTGCTTTAACACTGAGTTGTTTTTCTCTTTCCATAGGGCTATTCCCATTGCGTTGATGTGTACATAAAACAGTGTCAAGAGGTAACGCGTTTTGATTTACACCTGTCTCTTTGGGTGTTGATTTATTTAGCCGCACAGGTGATTGTAAATCTATTACAAAATGTGCTTCTTAAACCCCAGGGTGCATTCCTGAGGAATGATGTCTTTGAAGATGCAGCCATCCTCTGCCAGCGAGTGAATAAGCAAGTTGGAGAAGTCTTTAGCAATCCAGAGACTGTGCTAGCCAAACTCATTCAAAATATCTTTGAAGTTAAACTTCAGGTAATTTTAAGGGAATCGGTATATTTATTGGGTAATTGTAAGAGGTCATAAGCGTATTTGATTTCTTCTGTACGCCCCCTACCAAGAACATGCCAGGAAAAGAAGTTTCATATTTAATAACTAATCTGTTCATTCTTGGAATTGGGCTTCATGGGTGAGGTTAGGATTGAATAAGTGAAAATAACTTCTGTTGTGAATACTGTCTGGCAGCTAATGCAATATTTATGTGAAGTCTGGAATTGTTGAAAATATTTTTTCCATCCTGCAAATGCACTCACTTAAGTGTGTCAAGTCAAGAGCATGACCATTCGGTGCAAAAAGCAATTTCCCTGTAGTTGTTGTTCCCTGTATAGTGTAGAGATTGAGCTTGTCTTTCAGCCCCAAATTTGGGTGTCAGTTTTGACTTAGTATTTTATGGTAAATAGTATTTTTATCCAAATACTCAATGACAATAAGGCTCTAAGCTTCTATCTGCTTTGTGTATGTATTATGATAAGCAAATGTCTAAGCATCTCCTTTGCTTACTGTCAGCTGTAGAAATGCCCTTAAGCCTTGGGTGCTTTTGATTGTTAAGAAGAGGGGATTTTGTGTTTGTTGGTCAAGCATGTTTTCAAAGCAATCTGTCTTTTTGTCTTTGCTTCACACACTACTGCTTTGTATTATTAAATAATTTTCTTCTAAAAGATGCATTTAACTCTATCTTTAGGTAATGCAGGATCTGTGCATTAGCGATTTTAAAACAAAGAATATACAAATTACCTTTAAGACAAACTTTGCAGTAGTCTAGCAAGTATTGAGTATGACCTGTGGCTGATAGTTATTCCTCTAACACATGTACCCAAATTTTGCAGAGCTTTGTAAAGGACCAGCTAGAGGAACACAGGAAATCAGATGCTGAACAGTATCTTAAGAATCTCTATGATCTATATACAAGGTATTTATATGTTGATAATGAAATTACTGTTGTATATATTCCCTTGTAATAGATTGATTTATTATCAAGACGTAGGAAGAGAAGCAAAAAAGGTGAACTTCTTCTAGAAGTTGACAAATTATTGTGGCCGGTACCCTTTACAATGATAGTTTTCCTAAAGAAAACTTAGAATTGCCATTATTATTTTTAATGGGAAGTATTTAGTATAGTGATCTTTGAGAGTAATCTCAAAACTGTGCAAAAGCCAATCCTCTGCATCTCACTGGCGATTTATTTCATTTCAAGTGTACTCTATGTAATTAAACCTGAACGATGCGGAATTCTTTACTTAACTGTAAAGCTGCTAGAAGTCTTAATGGCAACCAGGATTCTGTTGTGCTATGTACTTTACAAACATGTAATGCTGTAATTCATACAAATTCGACCTTTTTCTCCTCTCCCATTCTTTGTTTCTTTTGCCTAAAGAACTACTAATCTGTCGAGCAAATTGATGGAGTTTAACTTGGGTACTGATAAGCAGACTTTCTTGTCTAAGCTTATCAAATCCATTTTCACTTCCTACCTGGAGAATTACATTGAGGTGGAAATCGGTTATTTGAAAAGTAGGAGTGCCATGATTCTGCAACGCTATTATGATTCCAAAAACCACCAGAAGAGGTCCATTGGCACTGGAGGGTAAGTTTCTTCTGTGAAGTTTTGTACTTTGAAATGGAAGGGAGGCGATAAGGGGAGAAATGTGGTATCTGCCATGTCAGACGTACAGTGATGAACTGCAAAAGAGCAGGCTTCTAAAATGACCTACAACTTTTTATAATTTGCTATCACTTTACGTTAACTTCTGCTAAAAAGTGTATCGCTCTTGGTACATGTGAAAGGTGATGCATGATGTATATATGCTCATGGGAAATGAAAAATACCAGTTAAACCTATGTTTCAACTTAGGATCCAGATCCACAAAAGGACTGAAGCAAAATTAAGGTACCTAAAGCATGTATATGTGTGTATCTAAAAGCATACGTTTTTTTTCACCTGCCCAGGTCTTGTGGTCCCCTCCCAAGACCTAGGAAGGGGAAAAGATCATAGCAATGTCAGTGAGAAAGCTCTTAATGAGCCCAGAAGATGCAATGGACTTAGAGAAAGGTAAAACAAGACTTCATTATCCTCAGGGTAGAGAAACTCTAATAGAGGAGTAGTGAGAAGTGGGAAAGGAAGGATTAAAACATGTGTGAAGCAGAGGTGATAAGACTACTGCACCTTTCTAAGAGCTCATTGGTTCAGTATGTCAGGAATGAAAAGTGATTTGGAGAGAACAGCAGCAGCAAAGTAATTAAATGAATTTTAAAAAGTACAAAACAAAGATGAAAATTTAATTTTCTTGGGGAAAATTAAATTGATTGTAGTGACTGACTTTATGGGTTGTTTTATGCATGGAAATGTGTCGGAGCATGCTTGACTAAATCAGGACTGCTGAGATAGTGGATGAGAATGAGAGGATTTGTGGGCGTGGATGACATAGAAAGTTGTCATTAGTGTCTCAGAAGTACAGTGTGACAGTGTGTGTGGAGGCAACACTTTGTCTACAGAGCATAAGTGCCAAAAGAGGCCATTGAAATTACTGTTACCCCACAATGGGGAATAGCTGGTCCCATGGTGTGTACGTGCCATGGTAGAACACACTTGATCATGGGATCAGAGGTGGAAGTTTTGCATTTACTGACAATTTTTTTAAGCTTGCAAGACTGTCTTAATGCTTGCATATCCTAAATTGTGTCTTGGGTTCTGTTTTTTAAGTTAACATCTAAAATATCCTAAATCATGGCTAAATTTGAGCATCAAATCTTCCATTCTGTGAAATCTTCTTTTGATGTGTCTTTGTTCTAGTATTCAAGACCTCAAAGAGAGAATAAGGCAACGTACAAACTTACCGCTGGGGCCAAGCATTGACACACATGGAGAAACTTTCCTGTCGCAAGAAGTGGTGGTTAACCTTTTGCAAGAAACCAAACAAGCTTTTGAAAGATGTCACAGGGTAAGTTTGCTTCCTGTGATCTCCATTAATGATATAATTTTGTGCCTGAAATTAAATCTGGAGCCTCAATTTTCAGTTGCAGTCTGATAGGAAGAAAGGAAGGACATTATTAAATTAATTCTCTTTTGTATTTTTCACTGAATCAGGGTCATGGTGCAGGCTCAGGGTTTGCTTTTTAAAGACCAGAAAATACAACTAGATCCACATTTAATACTGTCTGGTTTTGGAAGTAGTGGGGAGTGTCAAACCTACTGTCTACCTTGCTTTTCTTACTAAATTAGACCAAAGACTTGAAAAACCTTTAGTGTAATTCTTTTTTCTGCTTCAAGAATGTAGAGAATAGTTCAACAGTTGTTTTCCTGTGTCAAGTGCCATTTCCTCTAGTATTAGAGAATATCACCAATAAAATGCTGAGAGGAATAATGTTCAATATGTTTTACCTCAGTAACCCTCTACTGTTTTTCAATTGCATTAGTCTAACAAAAAAGTGTTTTCCTTCTGATTAAATCACTGGTTTTACTGCCCGTCAATTACTGTGTTTGATACTTCAATGCAAATGAAAACCCTTGAAATTTAATTGCAGACTTAAATGCTAGGGAATTTTTTATTTGCTAACTACACTGATTTGTAACAAATTTTAATGCCTCTAAGATTCTAAATAAGGTTAGTGCAGGAAAACTTAACGTTTTAGGTATTTAGATATTTAGAAGTTTTAGTGTTTTATATCCCTAGAGGGGCCAAAGATAGAACAAAAGAGAGATGCAGCACTGTTAGCTCTGCGTGCTGGGGTGGCCACCTTCTTGGTGGTGATGGTCAGTGACTGCAAGGCTAGCAGGTCGATCATCGTTTTTCTCAATATGGCAGTTGATAGAAATGGTTGTAAAATTCATCATATAAACTTCTTTTTTCCAGTCGTGCACAACTACTGTTTTGTTTCTCTTTTCCTGTTGGGATGAGAATTTTTCATGTTTGGTCTGAAAACAATTGTATGTGTTGGGGTAAAACCCAGTGCTCAATGGATCTTGGCGTATGAGGAGAGTCTTAGTATTACAGGTGTATCGTACATGGTGCTGAGGTTTCGTTTGTGGTCAGGACAACTCGCTGTGCAAAAGAGAAGTTAAATACGTCCCTGGCTACCTAATTGTAATCATAAATCATGTGACAGGTGCATGCAGACACGCTGTGAGTCCCAACTGTGACTGCTTTAGGAAAAATTAGTTGATCATTCTGAACATAACCGTATACTGCAACATTTCGGAGTGTGGAAATCTCTAATGGTGTTTTGTTGTTAAGGGGTTTTTTTGGGTGTTTTTTTTTTGGGGGGGGAATACAGCTGTAATATTTGGGTGTGTTGCTACATAAATTAACTTGAATTGCAACAGTAATCTTTCTTACTCCTAGCTTCATAAAGTCTTCACATAATTCCTTAAAAACCAAAGCCAGATTTCTTATGTGCAAAAGCCCTGTCATCTTGTTCTTTAGAAAAGGGATTTACTGACAGGTTGCTGTCCAAAATCCCGTGTTGCTTATGGCTCATGAAGGTACAGATGCTCTGTGTACATGTGGGCATGACTTCACTTAATAAAAATTGTCATGCTCCGTTGACACCAGCTGAACTGTGATAAATGTAGCTGGAGTTCAGGCTGTATTATTTTTCTGCAGTGATAAAAGGACAGCTGCAGTGGGCGAAAGTGAAGTCTATCTAACCCCGTGTCCTGGCTGTGACTCTGGCCGGTGGCAGAAGCTTAGTCAGAAAGAAAAAAGGCAGGGCATGGACAGAGTCTGCTTTTTTGTGTACATTTGCCCAGCATCCAGCAGTATACAGTTTAGGTAATTCCTGAGATTACATCTGGACAATTGTCTTTTAAGGACTATTAATTAATATCTTCCTTTATCATCACTATTTTTATTATTAGTAACTGTTTATACTTGTGCTTTCTGTAGCATCCTGTGGTATGTTGGCTTCGGTTTACTTGTTGATGCTGAAGGGTTTGTTGATACTAAAGGCTGTTCCTGAATAGTTCTCTGCATGGATACTTTTAATTTAGAATAAAATTCCAATTATTCTGGAATACTTGTTACATTTTAAGCTTATCCCCTACGCGATATCGGATAAACTTTCAAATGTATGTAGAACTGACCTTTAGGATAAATTATTTTTCTTTCTCTTTAAAGCTCTCTGATCCATCTGACTTACCCAAGAATGCCTTCAGAATTTTTTCTATGCTTGTAGACTTCTTATGTACTGAACACATCGATTATGCGTTAGAAACAGGCCTTGCTGGTGGGTATAGTATTTTTCTGAGCATTTCATCTCCTTGGCCTTTTTGTGCAGGTGATCTTTGTAGGTCCTTGCTGTGCCTTATTGATTGGCCTTGTTCAGAATGCATTGGTTAAATTAAATCAGTGTTTTGTATTTGGGAGTCAGCATTTAATGTTTTCTGAAGTGTCACTTCCATTTGGGCAGTTGATACACAAATGGAAACATGCTACTGTCTTCAAAAACGTTTGTGTCACAGAAACTGGGACATCAGCACTCCCTGCCTCTTTTATTTGTTCTCTGAGCCATAGCAGGAGAATATTTTTACATTACAGCTTAGTGTCTTAAATTTCATAAGATTTCCATGCTTGTTTGTATACCTGTGCATTTTACTGAGGGCCAGTAAGTAACAAAACTGCTTGTGTTAGAGAAGTTAAAATCTTGACAGTCCTACAGGAAAGCATAAAACTCGTGTTCTGAGGAAACATTTAAATTGGCTGCTCCATTTTGCCTTTAGAAATTTTAAATGCAAGATATTTCTATGCTTATTCCGTGATATAGCTGTGAGAAGTATTCTATATATGGCACCATGGTAAATTTTTGAAACTCTAAGCCTGTGATTAAAGCATTCGTGGAAAAATTCTGCATATTTAAAAAATCATCATGCTAATTATAATCATTACAATCCTAATGAAACCTCCTTTGCTTCAGGCATTCCCTCTTCTGATTCAAAGAATGCAAATCTTTATTTCTTGGATGTTGTCCACCAGGCCAATACTATTTTCCATTTATTCGACAAGCAATTCAATGATCATCTGATGCCATTGATCAGGTACCTTATTCTGATTCTCATTTACTTTTGTGAGCGGTCATTTTTGGTGAAGAAAGCAATTTTTTTTCAGTCTTCATCTCTGTTAAGAAGAGTTTATGGTTGGAGTGGTTCAGTTTGATGTTGTGGGAAGGTAGTGTTTTAACGAGAGGGAGAAGAAGGGAAGTTAAATGAATTGGTACCTTGGAGAGCTAATGGGAGAGAGGGAGCTCCAAGAGGAGGATATCAGGAAGAAATTCTTCACAGAGAGGGTGGTGAGGCACTGGAACAGGTTGCCCAGAGATGTTGTGGATGCCCCCTCCCTGGATGTCTTCAAGGCCAGGCTGGATGTGGCTTTGAGCAACCTGGTCTAGTGGAAGGTGTCCCTGCCCGTTGCAGGGGGGTGGAACTAGATGATCTTTAAGATCCTTTCCAACCCAAACCATTCTATGATTCTATAAGAGGATTGATAGGAAGGAGAGGCAAGTTGCTCCTTAGAGACCTTGCTGCTGCATTACAGGTCAGGACTACGGGGTGGTTGTGGCTGCATCTGGCACTGAGCTGGAAATATCAGGGCTGATGAGATTCCTGGGGTGCCTCACAGGCTCTGCAGAAAAAGCAGCTGGCCGTGCCCTGGGAGCCACACGTCGGCTACAGGACAACTGCGTGTTTTGGGGAGCCTGGGCTGGATACGCCTGAGAGAGAGCGCACCGATGTGCTGTGAATTTGTGCACGTGAAGAGCTGGGTTTGCTCGCTCACCTGGCAGGGGCTGGCAGCACCTGATGGCACTGCCCATCAGCACGTTCTGCTCAGCATCGGGTGGCTGTTCAGGCTGTTGGATTTGTCGTTCTGAAGCCAACTGACTCCATCTATAATAGCCCTTTCTGATGGGATGGGAAATATTCACAAAATCCTGTTGTAAGTAGCAGACCCAGCAGATAAATGTTTTGAAATTTTAACACTGTCACACCCCCACCCCTTTATGCTGTTGCAGTTCGTCACCTAAATTATCTGAATGCCTTCAGAAGAAAAAGGATATCATAGAACAAATGGAAGTGAAGCTGGATATGGGCATTGATAGGCAAGTAGAGACTTAAACTTTCTGTTAATGACTAGTTCTGGTAAGACTCCTTTGTGACGTATCTTAGCTTTCCTTTTAAGGATGAGTTATTTCTGAACACAATTTTTTTTTTTTTAATTCATAAGTATGCATTATTGTGTATAGGAAAGTTAATTTTGTTTGTTTAGAGGGTCATGTTTTCCAGGTCAGATTTCTGACCCATAAATAAGGACGTAAGGATGTTAAAGGATTTTGATTATGTGCAATAATTCAGTTTTAACTTTGCTGTCTCAAACTACTTTTTCTGCTTTAAAGGAGGGGAAATGATGATTGAAATGAAAGGCTTGCAGGCTTTCTGTTAGGAGCAAAGTTTGACAAAAATAGGTTAGATGATTTGCTTGAGTCTTTGCAGTGCTACGGATTAGACCTAGTCGTAGAAGTCTGCAGACCTGGAATAATTCGGATTCTGACATTGACTTGCTTTGAGGTTGTGACTCATTTAAGCTTTATTTCCATTTCACCAAATAAAAATGAGAGGATAGCTATAAAAATTGTAAATTAAAATCGTAGCTGTTTTGCAGAAGAAAATAACAAGCTTAATGTGTGGCAATGGAGCTGTTGTGTGATGCACTTCCTTGGTCTGGGAAGCATGTAGTGTTCCCATGTTTCAGGGTGGCATTAGTCAACCTAGAACATGTTGCCTACATGTTCTGTGCCTGTTTTCTCTCTGCAATAATGGAAGTAAGCCATTCTGTGGGTAACAAGGGCTACTCTGGAAATCATTATTGAGGTTTTTGTAAGGATCCCGCCAAAGTGGAGAAGGATGAGAACAGCACTGTGTAGGTGTGTCCTTCTGGGTATCTTCTGCAGAGAGGAAGAGCTTTGCTACATGTGTTTTCTGCAGGTGCAAAAGGAAAGGTGGAGATAGAGGATGTGTCAGTGGCAGTTGAGATTTTAGCTGTTCCTGCTGGAAGTGACCTTAGAGGCTTAAACACAAAATTTTAAATACATGAACCATGGAGGCCATAAGCTTAGATCTAGCCACATATATATCATACACCCACAACATCAGAAGGATATAGACTGGGTGGAACAAGTCCGGAGGAGGCCACGGAGATGGTCAGAGGGCTGGAGACCCTCTGCCCTGGGGACAGGCTGGGAGAGTTGGGGGTGTTCAGCCTGGAGAAGGGAAGGCTCCGGGGAGACCTTATTGCACCTTCCAGTGCCTGAAGGGGCTACAAGGAAGCTGGGGGGGACTTTTTACAAGGGCCTGTAGTGACAGGACAAGGGGTAACGGGGTTAAACCAGAAGAGGGTGGATTTAGGTTAAATATAAGGGATAAATTCTTCCTGGAGAGGGTGGGGAGGCACTGGGACAGGTTGCCCAGAGAAGCTGTGGATGCCCCATCCCTGGAAGTGTCCAAGGCCAGGCTGGATGAGGCTTGGAGCAACCTGGTCTAGTGGAAGGTGTCCCTGCCCGTGGCAGGGGGGTTGGAACTAGATGACCTTTAAGGTCTCTTCCAACCCAAACCATTCTGTGATTCTATATCAGTCATCAGCATAGCAATAGTAACTGTTTGTGTAAAATAATGAATCTCTGAGAAGTGATAGGCTTAGGAGAACAAGTCCCTGTTGGAAAATGCTACATTTAAACAAATGTTTTGTGGATGGAGACTTCAAAAACATTTGTGCTTTGGCACGTAGGAAAGAGATTAGTTTTGAGATGAATGTTACTTGTGAAGTGTGTTTGTGTGCCTGTTTACATGCTGCTTTGTGGTGTCACTGATGCTGTTGAGCGTTGTCTTGCTTAAAGGGATGATCTAGTTTAAGAAAATAAAAGCAAATGTTTAAATGTTGATGGCTTCAACATTACCCAGCCTGTAAAAGTCCAATAGCAGCTTCTTGAATGGCATTCACAGCAATTGTCTACCCCTGTAAAAATAATTTAGTAGCCAAACAAAATTGGTTGAACTGATTTTCTGTTTGTGTTCTGTATAAACAGCCTTCTGGGAGTATTTGGAAATTGGGGAGAATGCAAGATAAAATTTCTTTACACTTCTGTTGGTGTGTGGATTGTTGAGTGAAGCACACCTGAAGTGCAAGTCTGAGGTTTATGCATAGATAAGAAGGTTTTTACCCTCTTTGGATACATATATTTTTCTCCCCCTCGTCCCAGCTTGAATCCTTGTTTTCTTTGGGGAGGTTGGAGGGATGAGGAAAGTAAAGAAAAGGCAGGGGGGTGGGGGGGAGAAGAGAGATGGGGAGGTTCCTGGCAAAGGTAGGCACTGGGAGAGCAGCCTCTAGGCTGCTTTGCTGTTTGACCTTTGGTTTGGACTTAGAGTAAACCAGGGCCTTGACCTTCAATAATCTTCAGAAAAGATAAATCCTGTGAGGGAGAAATAAATGACACTGTAAAACTCAGATTTCTGACAACAAGAGAAATACCAAGCTCTGGCAAAGGAAGAGGTTTTTCTCCCCCTGCCACCCCCTTCATTTTCAAAGTGTTTTCTGATGCTTCCTTCTGAGTAATACGCAGCGTGATCTAATTCCGCTAAACTCTTAGAAAGCTGAAGGAAACATTCCACATTCTCCCTGCATTGAAGAATTATATCCAGTTTCTCTGAAAAGCTGGATTTGAATGGATTACCTTACAATTAATGTGTTCCCTCTGGAACAGCTGGCCAGCATGCTGTGTGCTGTATGTGGAGGGGAGAGTTTGTAGGGTTGTTGGGGTTTTTGTGGCTGATTCTCTTTTTTCTTATTGCTTATGTAAAATCAAGTGTATCTTCTCTATAGAATGGCATTGCAGCTTCAGAAGAGCGTGTATGTGTGTGGGCATGTCTGTTGAATGAAATATTTCCTTTGACATCTCCTGGCACCGCTTGCTTCTTAGAACAAATGTGTGCTTTTAGCGTATCTTCTGTAGGTTTCTCAAATGTTAGGTAGTGGGGGGTTTTCCTCATCGTTTTATGCTGCTGGCTTTTGTATAGAATCATTTTAGTATCTGTCAATAGAAAAATCAAGGAAAAGAAAATGTTCCCTTCAAAAGCCAATCTGTATTTCTAACTTTAAAGGACACTGAATTGTATGATCGGACAGATGAAGCACATCTTGGCTGCAGAGCAAAAGAAGACAGATTTTAAACCAGAAGATGAAAACAATGTTTTGATTCAATATACTAATGTAAGTAAACCTGCTCATCAGTGTAACTTCCAAAGCTCATGAGTGTTGCCGGGTACAAGATGTTTGTTAGCAGTGCATTAGACATGTACATTTGATTGACTTCCTTAGAGACCCCATTTCTCACTAAGCATCTCTGAACTCTGGTGTGGACTCTTTCTTCAAGCTGACAAGGAACATCAGCAGTTTTGTGTCTAGTGTCAGCCAAAAATCAGTGGGTGCTGGTTAACTCTCACATTCTTCCCCTCCCAAGAGGCCCAATTTGGAACAAGGGTTTTAGCTGGTAATTAGCTTTAAGCTATCAGTTTCAGAAATCAGTTATCAGGTACTCTCCTGTTGCTGGGTGCTTCTCCCCTTAGAATGGCAGGAGCACGACACAGCATCACGCGTGTGGCATGAACATTCTTTGCTGCAGAACTGTTGTCTCGGTCACCGAATCTGTCTGAATCCCAGCCTGTGGGCTGCTGAGAAGCTGTAGTGCTCGTTGCACTGGGATCTTTTTAGGGAACAGTGCAGTGAGGAATGGAGAACCAACTACAGTCACTGGGAAGAAGTGAGAGCGTTGCCTGAATGCCTGCAGCCAGGTGGGGATGGGAGAAGTGGAGCAGTAGGATGTAGAGTCTGGCAATACGTGGGAAGGGTGAAGATGCCTGCACGGCTCTTAATTTGGGTTTGGAATTGCAGCCAACAAAAGGTTTTTTAATCACTTCCCCCTCCACCCCCATCCCTTGGTTTATCATTGTTTGAATCAAAAGCCCAAATGAAACTGTTCTATTCTGAACTGATACAAACTATAACTTAATCAAATATTGTCTTGCATCTTTCTACTCGCATTTTTGCATCTTTATGCCCAAATAAAAAAACTGTTGGGAAATGACCCCTTTCAATGATGTGTTGTGGGAAGTTTAGTGATTAATGTTCAGCTTACGATGTCAAAGCTTGGGAAGAACAGACTTCTGGAAAGTTACCCAATTCTTTCTTCTTTTTGGTGTAGGCTTGTGTTAAAGTCTGTGGCTATGTTAGAAAGCAGGTGGAAAAGATTAGAAATTCCATGGATGGTAAGAATGTGGACACAGTTTTGATGGAGCTGGGAGTTCGTTTTCATCGACTTATCTATGAACACCTACAGCAATATTCCTACAGCTGCATGGGAGGCATGTTAGCGATTTGTGACGTGGCTGAGTATAGGAAGTGTGCCAAAGACTTCAAGGTAAGCGTGTATAGGTTGGTGATGTACAAATGTATCAAAATTAGTAGCAGGACTCTTTTTTTTTTTAATTTAATGACATTTTTTTCTTCATAAAAATAGGTTGCTTTTGTTTGAACGTCATCATTTTGTATACTGATGTGTTATATTCCGTTATTATACCAGCAGCTCTTTATCATGCCCTAAAGAGCAGTTTCCTGATTGCATTTCTTGCTCACGGGCTGTGTGTATATATTGAGGTTTTGTGTTCTGTGTGTGACTTCACATGCGTCCATATCACCCCACTGCTCTGTGTGTGTATAATGCACACAGGGAGAGAATGGTGAATGTGAATCCTCTGTCGGGGGGAAGTATTTTGAAGATCTAGATGGACACTGTTATATGGCTCAAAGCAAGTCTAACTCCCAATATCTGGGGTTTATCTCTTTTCTCTTAACCACAGATTGCGCTGGTGTTACAGCTCTTTGATACCTTGCATGCACTTTGCAATCTTCTGGTTGTAGCCCCGGATAATTTAAAGCAAGTTTGCTCAGGAGAACAACTTGCTAATCTGGACAAGAACATCCTTCACTCCTTCGTTCAGCTGCGTGTTGATTATAGGTCTGCTCGTCTTGCTCGTCACTTCAGCTGAGAGCGTGGAAAGAAATGTTGTTCCCTTCGGGCAGGCCTCAGATGTTAGAAAGCACAGGGAGTGACTCCTTACCAAACCTTTGTGGGATAAGGACTGTTGAGAATAAAGCAGCAGCCGTAATTAAATGTGACTGTGTAGAAGGTAAACACGTAAAAATCTGATTATTTCATGTAGGCTGAAGTGCTCCCAGTGAAGAATTTCTCCTACTTGCTACTGATTTTTTTTTTTTTGGAAGAATTGGAAACACATCTGTTCTGGACAGCAAGTGGTGCATTGAAAGTATTTTAGTCTTCAATACTGAATTATCAGATACCATTTGTTAGACATGAACCACAGAGCATAGCGTAGGTAATGGATTACATAGAGTAGACCAGTGTAACAACATTCTTCATCAATTTTAATGACTTAGACTTCAGCACAGCTAATCATAATCAAATTATCTTTGATTGGTGTTTCTAAGTCATTTCTTTCATTTAAAACCTTATCCTGCTCAATGTAATTTCTTGCTCTAATTAATTAGCTTGGAATTAAATCTTTGAGATGTAGGAGTAAAAGCAACACTCCCAGAAAGATGTAATTTATTCATTGCGTAGCATTCTAAACAGAAGTGGTGAAAAGTTCTGGGTTGGCTTTTTTTGGTTTTTTGGCTTTGGTTTTTTTGTCCCTAATAGTCAAGGGCCCACTGGCACATACTGGCATTGTGTGATCTGATACTATTGTTGTTTGATACCGGGGCGCTGAATTTTGTATATGCTTCTAAAGTAAATGCAGCTGCCTTGCCTAAGGCCTTCTTATTACAAACTGAAGGGGTACCCATGGTTGGGTTTATAGCAGAGAACTTTATCCTGGCTCCTGTTTTCAATGTACATAAATTCAAATTACAATTGGAAGTGAAAAGGATAAGATGTAGCTCAGTTCTTTGTATGTGGGAGGAATGGCCAGTGACTCTAGCAACAACCTAGAGTTGAAAATTCCCGTGCTGAAGGTAATTGATCCTCAGTGCCTGAGCAATATAAAATGAAATGCGCAAAAGCTGCTCTTCCACTGATCATAATTTTAACATTGGAGACAGGCTACTTTTGTGTCTGTTTTGCTCCAGCCTTTATTCAAGGTGTTTCTGAGATGGACCTGTAGTGCGCACACAGTGAATTGAAGCAACAGTCACGTTTGAAACATCTGGGGTAGTTTTACCACAAGCAGTTGAAAATTGTTGTAAATAGACGTTTGTTCAGAGGGAGCTCTTGTGGAAAACTGTTTGGAACTGCTGTGGTTTGTCTTCAGTCTGACTACGCCATCCCTGAACAAAACTTCTGTAACACGTTTCTGCCGTGGGCTCAGCGTATGTTATGGGAACTTCTCCCTCTCCCACCTTCAGAGCAGCATTTCTATAAATTCACTTTATGGGTTGGTCAAATGAAATTAGTCTCCTCTTTCTTGTAAATGAATTCCCAAGTGTAGTTGGTACTGACAGACTTGTGTGGAACTTCTCTTGGTTAGATGAAATTCTTCTGCTTCATTCTATATTTAGCAGAGCATTCTATCAGTAAACAAGAGAACACATGCCAGACTGTCTCAACGTACGAAGGGAGACTGGCTGCTTTGAGCTGCTTAGCTCGAGTCCTTGACCATGGCAAAGCCACGAAGCGTTTTGGACACTGGAGGAGGCACGTGCTGGTACTGCTGCCATTTTTTTTCAAAAGCTCTGATGTGAGTTCAGATGATACCTCTCTGTTACCTCTGTAACTGAAAGCCAACAATTTTAAGGCTGTGGTTTTCTTAACCAATACAAAACCTTTCTACAGTAAAGTGTCAATTTGTAAACACTTCAGAACAGTGAACATCATCTTAAGATTGCAGGTCGCAGAAGTGCTTCAGAATTTGTTGTATGACTGAATCATTTTAAGGTGGTGTGAAATGTGTTTACCATATTTCTTGCTCTATTAGCTGTGTTTTCCATGCATATGCTCAGTGCAATATTTTCATGATGCCTGTTAACAGGAGGCAGCAAAAAGTAGGTGAATACTTAAACTTAGATATGTAAACTCTTCCTAAATAAAAAGAATTCCCGCCAGACGCTTTTTTCACTTCATTTCCACGTTCTTCAAATATCTTTATACTCATTTGTATAAGCCCTTCTATTTAAAAAAAAAAAAAGAATAAAAGTAATTTTACTGACCAAATTTCTCTCGCGTGAGCTTTCCCATTCCCCTTCCTTTAAAAAAACCTCCCAATGCACACCAAGAGTTCCTGTTTCCAGAGAACACCACGTTGTCAGGAAACTCACAATACAACTTGGATTGGGATGGGGCCGGGAACTATAATTTTGACATATTTTTTTTAAGTTTAGAGCTCTTATAGCATGTAATTTGGGAAAATATTTCCAGTGGCTTCTGAATACAATAAAGTACTATCCAAAATACAAATATGCCTTTTAATGCTCATGTAATGAGTTAAAGTATTGCCTTGCTAATGTTTGCTCCTAGAACGTAGGCATTTAACAGGCTGGCAGCCAAATGAATGCCTGAGAGGAGGTGTGTGTATGTGTGTGTAATTATGTTGTCTACAGTTGGTGAAAAGGGCTTTGCAGTAAACTCGTAGGCTGGAAAATAAGCTGTGTTTTTACAAGTCCTGTAATTTATTAACGTGATTTGGTATTGTGCTCTGCTCGCGTGCGCAGGGAGGGCAGGAAGGAGTTGGTGTTCCGTAAGAATGCTTCTCAACGCAAAACCAGAAAAACTGGGAGATGGAAGCGCTTGGGAAAATAACGTTTAGGAACAGAGGGTAAGAAGTGAAGAAGACGTGAAGTAAAAGGCTGTGGAGAACAGGCAGTTTTTAATGAAGCAGCATAGCACGTGGAAGGAGGAGGGTTAAAATGTGGTTAGTAGGAACCTGACCATACGCATCAACCTAGGGAATAAGCAGGACTGGAATTAAAATCTCTTTGCAGCCATGTCCCACCCTGAAACACAGTGAGCTTCTAGTAGAGAGGGACTGGCTGAAATAGTTTGCTGTGGAGTTGTTCTTTCAGCTTGAAACCCCAGGGTTCAGAAAAAATCCACACACGAGTTTACATCTGCTGTGAAGGATAGGCAGCGATGCTGTGAACGTCAGCACCGCTTATCTCCACCGTGAGGAGTAGAAATGCGTCACTAATATTCAGTGTGATTAGAGGGAAGGAAAATGCCAGAGCTGAGCTTATTTTTGTTTGGAGACAACTGTGATCGGGATAATGGTAAGTGACTGCTTGATTTGAGAATTGCGTGGTATTGGCAGGAGGCAGGTCACGATCTCAGAATCAATGGAGAGCCTGGTAGGGTTTTGGTTTAGGATTTTTTTTCCCCCTCTTATCTGTCACAAAATCATTTTAAATCACTGGTTGCTTCAGTGTTTAACTGTCACAGATAACTCATGGTTTCAGTTGCCGAAGGAGCGAGCCTCTGCCATGTAGCTGGTGCTGGGGTGTCGGGATTGAGTGTTGTCTGAATTGATTGCTCTGTTTCTGTAGGAAAAGTTGCAAATACATGACAAAATGCAGCATTTTAGGAAGTGCTCTGAAGAGGGTGAGGCCTGTTGGGTTCCTTCATGGGTTGGGTACACATTGGCCTGGTCTTCAGATGCCTGAATTTCCAGGTTTCTTAATCTAATATGTGCATGACAGAAAACTTAATGTGCTCAGTTTTAGATGTCATGGCAAATTCCAAAACAGAGGAGTGCTCTTTGGATTAAGATTTATGGCAATAACTACCTTAATTTGGATTAGCAGTTGAGTTGAACCAGTCATGGATAGGGAAACCAGGCTGAAGTGATGGGTTTTTTCCTAGTGAAGGGAGCAGGTATCTAAACTGCTTATCTAATTTAAGATACAGGTAGCAGTTCTTCTCCTTCGCTCTTCTTGTCCCAGGATCAGTAGGGAGGATAAGCCAGCTCTCAGCACCCGAAGCTACTCTTCTAGAGGACAACTGAAAGGTAGGAGCACCTTTCCTCATGTTCTGATGGATTTTGGCTTCTAGGCATTGTTTCCAGCACCACCACTTCTCTGCTAGTTGTAAGTGGAGATAGATTCCTGTTTTGCTGTCTACGTGGGAGTATTTTCTGTCTGGACCTCAAGACTGGCACGTTAGTTTTATTTCCCAGTGTTCCTACACCTGTTTTAAAGAGGAGAAGGAGCCAGATCGCCTGCCCAGTCATGTTAACTGCTTTGCTTGTCTTTTTTTTCCTCCATTCTAGTGTCTTTTGGTGGTAGGAGATTTCTCTACCATGTCTTCTGCTTATCTTAGAGCGGGGAAGCAGCTGTGTTTGCCCGTCGTCTTTTCTCTTGTAAGGGGCACTGCTTACTCTGTGTCAATACAGCCCTTAGTGTATGTGGAAGCCTTGGTTTCTACTTTTAATCTATTAGCTTTATGTTGCTATGCCCTGTTTTCCTTTCCAGATCTCGTGACTGCATTATCCTTTCACCTCTGTTACCACACTACCAGGGAGGGAACCCTTTAACTTTGCAGCGTGGCTTTGAGGAAACATTCGTGGTTCCTCATCCACATGTAGCCTTGAAGGAGGAGTTTAGCTCCATCTTTTATTCCTCTACCTTCCCCATATTTTCTCATCTATTTCCACGTGCTCTCCCCTGACCTGGCTGTGCAGTGCATTAATTATATTGAAACTTCATGTAAGGGACCAGCCGTGGTTGGGGCAATCCCA